TTTCATAAAAGCATAGAGATGTAGGAGCTTGCGTTCAACGTATGATCTCTTAAAAATGCACTACTGCTTTAATGTATTCAGTAGTTGTTCCACCTGCTCTGCAAGTAGAATATTTATTTGCTTAATAGATTCTAAATAAAAACTGCAATCAGTCACCACAGAAATTGCACATCATTACATAACAGCCAGTAATTGATTACCAGATGCAGACATTGAACTGGATTTCTACTTTTGTTTTTCACATAACAGCAAGATAGCTTTTCGCTCTTACATTCTACCTAAAATCTAGTACCTTTTCCTTTCCTGCCTTTCTTAAGGCTCTACAATTATCATTCAATTGCATATTACAGTAAAATGGCTTTAACTGCTGTTTAATTGTAAAAGGTTTTTTGACGTATGGTTCCCATTGAGAATTTTAATTATAGAGCAGAGACACAAATCTGTCCCAATTATATGACCTACCCTGTACATTCTTGACACAGTTTTCTTTTTTCAGAGACAGTAGAGTGTCAGGAAATAGGCAGATTGTTCTCAAACTGTAGCACAGAATCTTTCAGAATTCACTGTTGTACATTTGATGCTACAAATGTTATCCTCTTTTTGCAGTTTAATTTCTGTAAAACTGGGAACACTGTTATGCAAAGACTAAATCACAAGTTTTAATTCTTACAAAATAGAAACTTGCTTTGTAGTGGTTTAGGAAGAGGAAAGAGAAGCAAGAAATACCGTACAGAAACATACCACTCGTTCACCTAGAGTCCTGTCTGCAAAAATGACTGGACCATATACCTTACAGGAAAGACTAAAACTATTTCATGCTATGAAATACTATAGTGTGACAGAGAAATTCCCCTCTTAACTCATCTGATAATTTGTTATTTCCAAAGGCACAGAGATTAATAGGCCCTTTGTTGCTTTAATCTCAGTTATGATTGTTTAACTACATGTTGTTGGGGGGTTGTGTTTTGGTTTTGGTTGGGGTTTAATATAGATTTTGTTGCCACTGGATCTTATTTTGCTTGCCATTAAATGCCAGTTGTTTAATTTGTTGTGTTTAAGTTTTAATTTTAAGTAAAGCATGAGTGAAAACATCTGATACACATACCTTGCACTTTGTTTTACTTTGTATCTGTCATTATCCTTTAATTAAGGTAGAGCCCTTTATGTTCCATAAACTGGAATTCAAGTAGCTTTAGGACAGGAAAAATGCTTAGCATAAAGAGAATATTTTACAAACATATACACTGGAAATCCCAATCTTTTTGTATTTTGCCTTGTAAACCCCATATTTTAAGAACAGACAGACAGCAAAACAGGCTCAAACAGCTCAATCCTTCACCCACAATAAATCAAGGAAGATCATCCTCATTTTGGTCACACCAAGACAATACTTCCTTTACTGTTGCCACATGACTGTAGCTAAAGACTGCAGAGATAAATCACCTGTAGATTCTAACCTCTAAATCAGGCAAAATGCAAAGCAAGAACCTCTGGCAATTCAAGATCTGTCAACAAGTTGGCCTGACACTCCATCATTCCAATGGCTGTTTGCCCTGATCTGACTTTTGTAACGCTTTACTGTACACGTCCCTTTCCTCTTCTGTTTTTCCCCAGTTAATCCTTTCCTAAGTAATCTCTCCTCCCCCATCCCAAAGTCCCAAAAGAACACAATGAATGTGTTTTGATGCCATTGCACTGCTTACAGGGCATCATTCTTCCTCACAGTGAATCTATCTTGTCTACTTAATCCTCAATTCTGTTAGAGTCTCTGTACTATTCAGTGTTGATACAATGCCCAATAAAATAATAACGAACAAACAAATAAATAATCCCAATCTTGGATGGTCTTTTAACACATAAAAGGAAATCATATAGCCAATTTGAATGTATTTGCCTTGTGATTTTCAAACTGGGTTTACTTACCCCGTGACAATGACTGGATCTTCTTTCTTCTCCGAATTTACTCCAATTCTGAATTATCTCATCTTGTTTTACTGAAGCATAAAATAAAGGAGTCATTCTTAGCTACTTCCATGTGGTCAAGTAGATCTCTGGTTGATTTCTACAACTCTGCAAAAGACATTGATTTCATTTGCTTTCTATATGGAAGAACCAATCAACAAAACTTAATAGCAGACTAAGTATTAAATCCTATGCAGTTGTTTCTAACCTAGGTGGCTGGTGAGACACAACTTCCTAATTTTCTATTTAATTCCTTGACTAAATACATAAAGTGACAAAACAACAGAAAAGTAGAGATCTTTTCTTAACTGAAGGCTATAGTTTTTTTGTTTTGTTTACTTTTTTACTAGAAAAAGCAACTAAGAAAATAAGAATAGCTATGTTTGCTAAGTTTGTTTGCTTAAAAGATAGGACAATGGAAATTCCACACTGGGCTGTAGGTGAAATGGGCCCACATATAACAGAGATAAAAAAAACCCTTGGGTCTTTAGACCGTAAATAGCATAGACAAAGAATGATAGATTAGGAAGGAAAGTAGGTGGCCAGAAAAATAAGTGAGTTGTCCTTATGTAAGTCCATCCAGTTATCTTAGTTTCCAAATATTAGATATTCTAAGTTCTGTAAATACACAAGAAAAAATAAGTGTTTGTCCTTATGTAAATCCATCCAGTTATCTTAGTTTCCAAATATTAGATATTCTAAGTTATGTAAATACACAAGAAAAAATAAGTGTAATAGAAGTATGGGATTTCACTGGTTTCTCCTTATACACCTGTACACTGCTTTAAGAAACAGAGCTTACTTACTTTCCAAAGACAGAGTTCACCACAGTAGAGATTTATCAAAACACTGTATCACACACATGGTAAGTAAAAGGGGACACCACTAGCTTAACATGATGCTGTCATCAACTGCCAGAAAAGGAAAAACAGAACCTGACTACAAGGTTCTAAAGAGTGAAATTGCAACAGTTTGGGGTTTTTTTGTCTTGCCTCCTACACACAATGTTTTACTGCAAAAACAGGTTCAAGCCTTTTGTCAACTGAAACAATCACTTTAGACAACTGTGATCTCCTTTTGAGCATACAGGATATGTCTATATTAAAAATTTAAACTAGTATATATGGAAGAGCAGAAGTCACTGTATGTCTCTTGAAGCATGTACTTGAACACTAGTTTAATATTACTATAAATTATCTTATTTGATTGTCTTGTATATTTCATGGTCTAAACCTTCAAGTCTTATAGCTAGCAATACTGCCTCAAGATTCATTTTGCCAAGGTAGCCTTATTACTAGATCAATTATTAACCTTAAATTTGAGTAAAGTATTAAATGATATCTTGTCCTAAAGAAAGCATGCATTTATGTAAGCAAATAACAAAACATAGAAGTTATCTGCTGCTAAATTGCTTTAGTTTTGTTTAAAAATAAAACCTCAATGGTACTTGTTTGGAACTTTAGCAAGTATAAGAGCTGAAATTTGTACTGAAGGTAAAATTATTTATAAAGTTACAAATGTAGAAACTACTCAAATATAGAACAATTCTTAAACACCTACACTAGGTATCTTCTAGAAAAACATCTTTCCTGCCAATAAAAACCTAAACTAGCTTGCTTACTCTGATATAGTATATATCTGTATAGTATATATAGTATATATCTCTGATATATAGATTAATATATTCTGCGTTACAAGATGATGTTTTAAGTTCCTGTTTCTTGTTTTGCATTACTATTCAGCATTATTTCCTTCTTTCTCTAATGCATTCCTGGAAGAAAATAAACTGTTCTGAGTCACAGTTAATTCTCAGTCACTATTGTTTTTGTAGCTTTAAAAAAATAAATGAAAAGCAGCAATTATACTAAACAATTATGAAATTCTTACTACAAGTATTTTAAATTCCTCTTTTCAACTGAGAAAAAGAACATGCATGGCAGTTGCTTTCCCAAATGAACGTAACAAATAGCACCTGTACTCTGTAGCAATTCTCAATTCTAAATGTTAAATTCATTTTCTCAGTATGTTATCCTGAAACTCAAAATAAGGATGTGAAAAGAAGTATAGCCAACCTCAATAACTAAGCAAAACATTTATCAGAAAGCAAATTTAGGCATACTAAAAAATCGTTTCAGTGAGCATTGAAGAACCAACAGGCAGCAAAACTACCTTACAGCTGAACTTAATTTTAGATCCTAATTGGCAGCTGGATCCAGGCAGATCCTCTCTTCACTGGAGTCAGCTGAGGCCATGCTCCACACAGCAAAGGAGACACCCAGTTGCCAGATGGGACCTAGTTTTTATTTTCTGTGCCAACGCTGTTCTCTGGGATGCCATGTCACACTCTGGCCTTCACCCTTCCTTCCATTGACCTTTTTTGATAAATTGGTATGGTTTCCCCCCCGAAACCCATCCAGATAGCCAACCAGCCACATTTTTAGGACTTCAAAGCACTCTGAACCCGTTTTCTCTCAATTTTTCTCTACAGCTTCCTCCCTTTTGTCTAGCCGTTGGTGAGAGAGCACGGCTCAGCTCTGGAGGGGGATGAGGAGAAGCCCCTTTCCACGGCCGAGGCGGGCCGCAGTCCCAGGACTCGTGAGGAGAGCGGCGCGACCAAGCTGCTTCGTGGGCTTTAGGGGAGCAGAGATAACTGGGCACCGCGGGATGTGCAGCAAGCTCAGCCTCCAGAGGCCAGGCCGCTCCACAGAGACTCCGCCAGCGGAAGCGCCCTCAACGCCCAGCCCGCCCGCGGCGCGCACCAGCCCTACCTGCCGGGGCCCGCGCCGGCCGCCCGGGCAAGCCCTGCCCATCCGCGCATAGGATTGGCTGGGGTCTCTGTCATTCACAGCGGACCCCGTCTCCCGCCGCAAGTGTCCAACTGCCCCCGAAGCACCGCCTCCTTAGAAACCGCTCTTCCAGACCGCCTAACGATTAGTTTCCAGGACTGCCAATCATGGGCGCTCTTAAATTTGATTGGCCAAAATTAGCAAGGGGGTGGGCCTTTTGGGCTGGCGGTGTTTACCGTGCGTGAGGTGACGGCTGTTGAGTAGCGGCGAGCGGCGCCACTCCTTCAGTGGGGCTGCCCGGGCCTGGGAGCTGTCACCGTCATGGGGTTCCGCAGGAAAAACAAGAGACTGGTGGTGCTAAGCCATGAGTTCGTCATTCAGAACCATGCGGACACCGCGTCTTGCCTGGTGATGGTCTTCCTGCTGGGGCTCATGTTTGAGGTACTGGGCGGGGTAAGGGGGCCTGTGGTTGCCGAATCGAGCAGCATCAGGTTCTGCTGTGGGGCAGCCGCGGCGCCTTTGGCTTCCCGCTCTGGAGCTTCCCCCGTACTTCCCTCCCGTTCCCTTCAGCCTCGCTGCCAAGCAGCTCAGCCTTACCTCAGTCCGGCTCCAGGGTTATGTCCGTGTTTCTTCTCTACCCCGAGGCCCGGGTACTCTCCATGTCTCGGCTGTCTTTCGAGTGCAGCAAGTTTCACTTCTCTCTGTCCTGACCCAGCTCACATACTCCCTTTTCTACTGAGTTCTCTTTGCCAGCTCCCACTCTCACTATGCAACCTCCTCTTACTCTTTTCTGTCAGATTGTTCCTATTTTCTTGTCCCCTTTTCCTTCGTCTCTGCATATGTTTATATCCTAGCATACTTCTATAAGATTCCTTTTACTCAGTTCCAGTCTCCTGAGTTATAAAGCTCCTCAAGCCCCCTTGCTTAAAGCAGAATCATTCTATGTGTGTTTGTGGTGCCTATTTACTTTTTTCTTTCCCCCCTTTCCCCGTTCAAAATCCACGTGGTAAAGCAATTAGGAACATTGTTATAAAGATGATTTCAGACATTCTCTGTTGTTTTGAGCATGCTTAACCAGCTGGTAGTTAAAAACTGCTAGTCACCCTTTTGCACCACTGCTCAGTCTATTGCTGTTGTTGGCTCAGCTCCCTAGCGATGGATAATCTTAAGAAAAATGTGGAATTAGACAGGCTCAGCCTAACTTCTGAATTCCTCTTTGCCTTTCTAGTTGAAAGTTATTATAATGTTTGTTTCCATGTGTAAGCTGCTTATTAGTTTCTGGGGTAATGGATGAGGCATCTCTCTTAGGCATCTGTTTTCCCGTTTTTGGGACAACGGTCTTGTGTGTGTTGCTATAGGAATATTTTATGTTGGTGTTGAGTATGGGATAGGACTTGTTAAATAGAATTTAAATTCTGGATAGACAACTTAGTTTACTGAAATATTATTGGTCACACAACTTAAATACTTTCCTGAAATATTTCAACATTTCCCATCAGTTGGGTGAGATTAAAAATCAGACAATTTAAAAAGTACTGTTAAATTCTGAGATAAAATACATACATGCAGGTGTTCTGTATTTTTATGTGTGTGTGTGTATATATCTCTCTCTATATATATCTGTATATCTTGACCCACTTCTGAAAACAGTAAGGATACAGGACAGAAATAGAGAAAGCAGTTGTGATGGTCAGTTAATTTCCTTCTAAATGATGGACAAAGGCAGTATTGAGGTATAATAAATTGTGTCATCGATGGAGAAGTATGTCATAAAAGTTAATGTATTAAGTCTGTAACCCAATCTCAGCATTAAAAAAAGCTAGGGGTTTGGCAACTCAGGTGATAAAGGCTTTAAGAAAGAAAGTAAATGTGTGCACCTGGGATAAAGTAAATCCCGTTTGGGATCCCAAGTGGAACTTTATATGTGGTACTTTAAAAGATATTGCTCTGTGTCTTTTTGCCATTGAAAACCAGTATGTCTTCTGGAGTTCCATCTCTGAATTCCATTTGTCTTAACTCAGGCTTTCTATACATCACGGAAGTTGTATTTCTGTAACACGGAAGGTATTGGAAGGGACTGTACAGCTCCCCTGGCATAAGGGTTATTATTTTGGTGAAGGTGATTTCTTTTAGAGGAAAAAGAGTGCGTTAATATTGGTTACACCCAAAGATAATTAGCAAATTATCTCATTTCTGTTCAGCAGAATTCTAAAAGTTCAAATGCAGACTAGACTCAAGTGTCACTTGTGATATGGTTTTATTGTGCTTGTTTGAATATATACTATTATATTTCTTAATGTAGAATTTAAATGTCTGCATCTTCTTTTTGATGCAAAAATTACTTTTCTGATCAAAACACATATCATTTATTAGGCAGAAGAACAGTAGTGCTATGTAACAGGTTAGACTTCTGTATTACACTTCTCCCTTATTCACTGCAGAAAAGCATACTGGAGGTATTTGAATGAAATCTATATTTTTGTTGTTCACTGTCTAGGTCTTATAGCATCTTTATAATGAGTAATCCAGGCTGCCAAATGAACAAAACTACTGATTTTTTTCCAGTAAATTTTGGTGACATCTATTATGATTCTATATTGTGTGCTTCATAAGTGTTACTGAACTTGCCTAAACAGCTGTTATGTCTATTTTCTTTTGGTCTTGATTTTCTCTCAATAATAAAGTGAAATTATTATTAGGTTTTAAGTTTGAAGCCATGAAGGGCAACGTTTTGTTTTGTTTTTAAATCAGTGCTTTTCACAGCATTTTATGCTTACTTGGATTTCAGACTTCAATGACAGATTTCCAAATCTAGGCCATGGTACCCTAGGTTATACACTAATAAGCTAAAGAATGTATCAATGAGACTTTTCACAGTTGACTCCCTATTGAATGATTTTCTTGGGCTTACATACACTATAGTATCACTACAGTAAATACAGGGGTTTCTTTTCTATGTTACACTCAATTGCCCATCTCTATGAGACCATCCAAAAACCAATACTTAGGTGAAAATTATAAAGGAGCATCAGAATGTGATAAATTGAAATATAAGGATTTCTTTAAGGTTGTTTATCCACCTTAATTGTACTTTCCCGTACCTTAACAGTGCTGATTATTATGAGGTCTATAGATGCATGTAGGGCGATTCACTCTGATTATAACATACTGAAAAGCGGAAGTTAAATTTTAGCATGTTAACTGTTGTTTGCTTTCTTCTTCCTTCTCCAAGAATACTTATAGTCTTTTATGTGCCTAACCCTACGCCTTTTCTTGACAACAGTGGGCCGTGTTGTCTAAAGAAACCTTTCTTTTAGTATTTACTGTTCTTCTTAAGCTTCTAGTATTATCTCAGAGTTTCACACGATTTCTTTTCTCCTAGAGCAATTTACACCATCTTTGTATCTGTGATTATCTTGCCACAGAATGCCACAGAATACCACTTGTTGGAGCTCCCATACTTCCAGCAGAGTGAACTGTTTGTAGTATTAAGTTCTATGCCTCATAGACAGACAGAAAAGCTACCTTGCTGGGCTCTAGCAAAGATTCTTATCACCCTCTTCTTATTCTCAGGAAAGCTTCCTAATGAAGACGTCTGCTTGAAGTTACATGGTGCTGCCTGAATGCCCTTCCACAAGGGAGACTGTTGGTGGGGGTGCTGAGTGATGACTTAGTGAAACCAAGCATGTTTGTTTTAGTTAGATGCTGATGACATCGATACCTATGTAACTATCTACGTTTTCCCTGTCTTTCCAGGAGCAATGAATTTTTCACACTCTCATTCCATGAACATTTTAAGTTGGTATTGATGCTGGCTGCTTATTTTCCCTGTCAAGTACACAGAATAATTTCTGTAGCTGAGCAGTGCAGCATATTAAGAAAGTCATCAGTGTTAAGATTAGTAGAGTTTTCTCCTCCCTCCTGTATTGTTGGTTCAGTTTTAACTTGTATAATTTTCCTGTCTAATTCACCACACCACTACTTTTGATGGCATGAGTCTGGGACAAAGACAAGAAGCAACTGGTAGTAAAGAGAAAGGCAGGATTGCTCCTTTTGATGGTAGTGCTGGTTTATGAAAGGTTAAATTGTTCATAGAACTGCAGTGTCTGAAAGTCAATTTTATATGCCAGAAAAACTGGTACTTTCGTTTACTGTAATGAGACTTCCTCTTAAGAGTACTCTTCAGTATTATGACTACTCTACTGCTTAATTTCACAGGTGCACTCCCAGTGTACTGAACAATTTGCCTTTTTTTTTTTTTTTTCCTACAGAGGAACTTATTTTGCATTTTTGTGCCTCTTGCTAACTTTGTAGCTGGATAAATTAATGTTTGTTTTATATAGTCCTGAATGTTCTTAGTTACACTTTCAGAAATTAGATGGTGTAACATTTGAGGAAAATAGCTTTCTTGTTTAGTTTGTATTTCTTTGTTTTAAGTCATATCTGTGAAGATCAGTTTAAGAGAAAGCATAAAAGGTATAAGAATATATTTCTTTTACATCAGTTTTCAGATTATGCCTGTTTCAGTTCTCTGATTTATGAACTAGATAATAGTGCCTGCAAACATAATAAATGTATTTGCTATTGGCAGTGTAGGATGTACTTATCTATGGGGTTTTTTGTTGTTTGTTTGGTTTTTTGTTTTCTTTTTTTTTTTTTCTTTTTTTTTTTTAACCAGCAAAGGAACGAGGGTTTTGGGTGGGTGTTTTGTTTTGGTTTTCTTCCCTTCCACTCATATCCCTGTGTTAGAGCTTACTACTTTTTCAGTTACATCAGCACAACAGTATGTTTTTTGGAGGTGTTCAAATCAGATAAAGAAATGTTTTCAACTAAACTAAGCAAGCATATTTACCTCTTACCATTTGGTTATAGGGTAATCTACATTATAAACAGTTCCATTGTTAAAGCTAACAGCTAAATATACTGCAGCATGGGAATGGGAAGACATTTTGAAGAGGTAGAGATGACTGAAAGTTCTATTTTGCCACTGGAGAAAGAGTAACATAAAATTATACCATTGGTTACTTTGATTGTACTGTCATTTTTAGAAAATGCTTGCTTTATCATAAAAGAAATTGATGAATCTTATAATTCTACTATGATGTTTTGAATACTCTATTTACTTAGATGGGCATTTAGCTAGAATGTTGCTTTTTTTAATATCTTGCAAAGTTATGTGAAACTTCCCTTCTGATTTAACATAGGGAATCTTTTAACTTTTTAAATAAATGAAAGCCATTTATACTTCTAAATACTTTAAAGTATTTAGTAGAACAATGAGTAATTTGATCCTTAGCTAAAAGACATAATTAAAGTCCTGACCATAGGAAGCAAATGTTAAAAGATTTGCAACAAGGTAAGCTTCCATATTTGTGGGAGATTAATAACACATTTGGGACCTCTTTGATTTAAATCATGTGTGGGAGAACATTTGTTGATGGCATGATGTTCTGGTTTTGAGTGTTTATAGTCTAGCTTGTTTGAAAAATCTGATGCTTTTTCCTTGATTCTTGTTGAATTCTAGGCCTCAGCCAAGTACGCTATCATCTTTATTGCTGTGCAGTACAATGTCACCTATACCATTGGTGAGATTAAATATTTTAATATTTTTTTTCTAGTAGTGCAATAGCTCAACTATTAAAAATTACTCTTTTTTCCCCTCAAGACTTCAAGTCACTTCACTTCTATAAAATAGTAGAACTCTCATATTTGACTATCTGCATTTGGGTTTACTAATGCTATACTCACTGAAACATTGTGGTGTTTCCTCAGTTGCTTTTTAATAATATTGGGTTATTTTTCCCATATGTAACACGGCTATTAACTTGCATTTTAATGTGAAAGGCATGCGTTCTTTCCAGTTTTTTGATACAATCAACAGGAGTCATCAAGTAACAGAATATTCTGGTAATCTTCTATATATCTTGCTTATTCATGATTTCTTAGATTGTTAGTAAGGGCTTTTGTGGTTTACATTTCAAAAATATCACATTATTATTCTCAAGTAACTTAATGTTGCTGATTCGTTCATGTTTTTAAATAACAAAGGGAGAAAGTATTGATTATTTTTTTCCCAGAAAACATTTCCTTTTTTTAATCTTTTATACCTGCTGTACTATACACAAGAGTGATAAGCACCTACTGGAATTTCCTTATTTGGTAACTTAATTTTTCTGAATAGTATTGGTAACTTTCAAATCTTTTCAGGAATTAATCTGCACAATGTCTTGGAAAAAATAGGTACTGTGGTAGAATTAGTCAAGATGGGGAACTAGAGTCCAGAGAAATTAGCTAGATTTATGACATTTGTTCTAATCTTAACTTCCAAACTTGAGACCTCTGTGCTGTGACTGGTCCAAATAATGTAGCATGCTGACTGCATTTAATATGTTCAAAATAGTGCATTGATCAACTTTGCCTGCAGTAATTAATATATATATATTTTTAAAATGTTTCCTGAGATGTTTAATGTTGACACTTGAGATGGACACAGTAGACTTGTGTTTTACTGATATTTGAGCATCATCAAGCAAGCAGCAATCTCCTATAGCGGAGACAAAAGTAAAATCCATGTTTGTTACTATGATGCCTGTGATGTGACTTCTTCATAGTGTTTGGTGCATGCATGTGTTTATATGTATGTCTATATATGCATACATACAATGGAATGAATAAGGTATAGCTTCCTTTAGTTTTAATAGGAGGTGTGGATGAGTTCTGCACAAGCAATTTTGAGGTCTCCACTCTGGTCCTCTGAAAATAGTGAATATATTACTAGCGAAGGTCCATTTTGAAAACCAGTTCTAGGGACCAGGCAGAACTAACATTTGCTATGCAATTACTTGGTTGTTGATTATATCACAAGCTGCTTTCAAACATAGAAATAGGACATCTGACACTTAAAGTTATATGGATGTCCTGTACATTAGGACCTTAATGTACCATTCATGTTACAGGAAGCAGTAATTGCTTCCTTGACACCTTTTTACCTTGTTTCCTTTAGGGAAAAAAAAAAAAAGTTGCTTGATGTCTGTATTTCTGCCATTTTGCATTTGGACAACACAGCGTTTGACAAAGGGTAGAAGTCTTAAAGAAAACAAAAATCCTTGATGCTTATGAAAAGTGGCGGCTGTGTAGATAAGACACATCCAAAGTAATGCCCTCTCTTAAGTGAACGCGGAAGAATGCTAGATGTGTTAGTCTGCAAATGCAGATGAGCATGGCTCTTGATTAGTTGTAGTACAAGTTCTTTCTTTTCCATTGCAGTATCTCAGATGCATAAAGAAAAGTGAGATGGTTGAAGTAGGTGTTTGTGGACCAAAGGAGAGACAGCCTTACAAAATAAGCTTTCCTTAGGTCTACTGCTCCTGATACATGCTTTTTAAATTGAATTTAATTTGTAAGTTTCCCACACTTAAACGCAGTAAATACAAAAATTTGGAATATTTTTGTAACAGTGTGAATATTCTCTTTTTTTTTTTTTTTTTGGTGATTTTGATTTATAGGAACATATTACTAATTCTGGGGAAGTTACTTACAAATGCGTTGAACTACTAGGGTTCCTCACTATATAGGTTTTTTTTTTCCTATGTAAGGTCATGCTTCTTAAGATGGAATCTCATTCGGTCTCTACCAAAGTACAGAGTATAGGGTGTGGGTCTTTATTTTTTTCTTCCTTTCATTCTTTCTTTCGTGTTTTTTTTTTTCCTTTTTTTGACAGCCTAGATAAAAGAAATGGATTGAAGCTACAGCTCAGTGTATACTGCTCTCAATTGTTTGTTCTATGCTTATAGCTATATCATTGTATTGAAGGAAAAGATGTTCCAAATTATCTAATTGGGCATAAAAAGTAATTTTCAAAAATGTAAGATTTATGACTTGTATCCTGTATCAACTTAGCATAACTTCTAAGAACAATGGTCACTACTGCCCTTTTTCAGTTGCACACAGTGCTCCTTCATAAAAATGTAAAAATATATACCTTTTTTTTTCTTTTTTTTAGATGACAACAGTGAGCAATTTCATTTTTATGACTATGGTCCAAAAGACATTGCCACAATCTTCTTCTACATGCTCGTAGCAATTAATCTGCATGCTGTAATCCAGGAGTACGTATTAGATGTAAGTTGTTTACTGGAGTATAATGTACTTGTTTATGAACATGTTATTTTTAGCCATCAGTTGGTCAAAGGTTTTTTTTTTTCCAAGTGAAGTATAAGCTGTGGTACAATGAATGGTTTAGCATTTAGAAGCCCTGTTACATCAATCCTTTTGTTATTTGCCAGAAATGCAAACAGACCTTGGTTTAGTGGTGGAATTGGTGATGCTAGCTTAATAGTTGGACTCAATGATCTTAAGTCTTTTCCAACCTAAATGATTCTATGACATTTTTATAGTGGTATTTCTTCAATTTATTAATGGTATAAACCACTGAATCTTTCTTTCAATCAATATATAGTTTTCTGAAAAAACAGATATTAAATGTTGATGCCCTACTTGAAATATATGTGAATTAGGTCAGTTGCATTAGATTCATAAGATATATTCAGAAGATTAAAAATTACTGCAGTGATGGATTTCTGTTTGTGTTTAGATAGGGAGCTCAGAATTCATTGCGTGCTCTTTTGCACCAATTCAGTTGAAAAGTAAAATGAATTTATTAAAGCCATTGTGAAGATGATCTATTATTGAATGGCCTTAGAACGTCTTCACAAGTAGGTAATCTGGGCCACAGAAACTCAAATGGTTTTTAAGTTTCATCAAGGTCTTAAATGGTGGGAGTTATGTATTTTGATTGAGGAATGGGAGATTTGGGAAGAAAAAAAAATCAGGAGTGAATGCCAACTCCTAAATAGCTTTCTTGTTTTATAAATTACATTTATTGATCTGATTTTTATTTCTAGAAAATTAATAGACGTCTGCATTTGTCAAAAACAAAGCACAGCAAATTCAATGAATCAGGACAGCTAGCATTTTTCTACTTGTTTTCATTTATATGGGGAGCAAGTATTTTGAATGCAGTAAGTAAGTCGCTCTATTTGCTATTTTTATTTAAAAAATAGACTTAAAGTATTAAGAAGGTCCTCAAATCAATGGTGTTTTTCTTTAGGAAGAATTCATGATGAACCCAACCTCACTCTGGAAAGACTATCCCCATTGTCGCATGCTGTAAGTGTTCTATTTTCAATTTGAAAAGATCTGGTACTTATAATCACTGAATATTTAACAACCCCAAAATTTAGGGAACCACTAATAGGGTAGTGACATTGGTACCTTACAAAAGTGACAACTAGATGAAAATACTTTATTTTGTTTGAAAACTGTCAGCTGTTTCGTCCAAAGGTAGTTTTTGATGAATTGAGCATTTATCCAAGAGCTACTTAACATGTGCTCTTAGCTTTCTTCCTTTCTTTAACTTAACCATAGTAGCTGAGTTAAAGTTTTTGCAAGATAGGATAGGACTGCTGAACTGTTTCACACCAAAGAAACATCTTTGTCGGAGACTGAATTTTCAAATTAGAGGAGATTTATTACTTGATTTTTTTTTTTTTTTTTTTTTTTTTAATTAAGATGACTTACAAAGTTGTGTTGTTTGTCTGGTGACCTCTCCCCCATTTTTCTCAGGTGAGTGTGATAAAGGGAAAAGGGATAATATGCATTTTTTATGAAGGGAGTTCCACTGCTCACAGGATAAACTGTTTCTGTGTTAGGTTTTTTGGTCTTTTTTCTTTCCTGCTGTCTCTAAAGGTGATTCAGAACTTGCTATCAAGAAGGTTATGGATGCTAATTCAAAAAACTGTCACCGTAGAGTTGTTCTGTATTTGTGGTTCCTGCAATTTAGGAATCATAAACTGTAATAAGTCAGCATTAATTAATTTAAGATAATGAAATAAAATCTCGTATTTCACACTGAAAACTTGTAAACACATCATCTTGTGTTTTCTTAACCTGAATTATTGTTTAGTTTTCAGGTAAAATTCTTCTATATTTGTCAGATAGCCTATTGGCTTCATGCACTGCCGGAGCTATACTTCCAAAAGATCCGAAAGGTATGGAGAGAAGTTGTCAATACAGCTAATTAAATATCTATGCTTTCCAATTACTCAATATTTCTGTTTATATTAGCTATATAAATATGTACACATTAACATTTTTATATTCAGTTATTCATATACTGTTTATGTTTTTTACATTTCTTGCATTTCTTATCTAATTTAGTCTAGGTGGTCTGTAGTTTTTGATTCAGACAGTATTTCTGGAAATTTATACAGTAGTGTGAAAAATAATCAAATCTAATGAATGATAGGATTTTTCTTTTTATAGTTAAACTATAACAGCATTTATTATAATTTCTCTAATTTTAGGAAGATATTCCAAGGCAGCTATGTTATATTTGCCTTTACATTGCTCATATCTCTGGTGCCTATATATTAAAGTAAGTATTTGCATGTTAGTTTTGAGTAGATAGATCTATTTCTTTAATAATTTTATTAAAATTTCTAACTTTTCTGTTTTATAGTTTGCAGCATTTGGGGCTATTTCTGATGGTACCTCACTATTTAGCAGAACTCATTTTTCATGCCTCACGTCTTTTCTACTTCAGTGATGAAAACAAGCAAAAAGGGTAAATCTTGCATGTATTAATTAAAATTCAGAACTTTATTTACTAATTGCTTATAAATGGATTTGCATGTGTGTAAAGGTACTCAGGTAGCAAACATCATCTGTTCAGTGTCCACTACTATCTGCTTTGGATTCACAAGCAAGTCATTGTCATTACATAGAATCAAGGAAGCAAATACACCACTTCATGATCATCATTATAAGGTTTTGCTAAGGTCCCATCTCACATATCTATGTATTGGCTTCTGATTCTGTAAGTTGTCTGTTTGCTTAAATGTTCATACATGTTTGTGTTTAGGGACGCTTGCTTTTAAAACCAGTTATTTGAAGAAGTAATAAAAGCAGCATTCCCTGTAAGTTCTTGCAGGTCTCTCTCCTTTTGGTAAGGTGAGAAAGGGAAGCAATAATACAATGCAAAAGGTAATGTCTCAAAACATGTGGCTGATGAGATGTCTTCAGTTATACATCTCTTGAGTAAGATTCTCAACTATTCTGAGAATTATTAGGTATAAAAGTAATACATGTGAGAATGGAAAGAGATGAGATACTGAGGTATTTAACTGTGTGGCATGCTAGGATAGATTTCACCATTTGAATGCAAAGACTTATGGAGGTTCTAGATTGAATAAAGCAGCCATGTCCCATTTATGTGTACTTGTCTCTTATTCTTTCTTCCTTTTCTGAGTGACTGCCCAGCTGGAAGAGATTATCATGAATGCCTTGCTTTCTTTCAGGCAATCCCTTTATATAGGCAGCCTCCCTTAAAGCAGCGTAATGCTGCTGCTCTTGATGGTCTTTTCACAAGATTTGTTTGTGTTGCTCCTTAAAGCTAACATTTTAAATAGGTATGCTGAATGTCCTTTGCAAAAAATCAATGTTTACTGATGCAAATAGGGAAAGTGAGAGAAAGTTAGCTTGTCTTTCCTTTGTATGTCATATTTAGTTGTGACGTTTTTGGAGCTCTGACTTTATCTGCTTTTCATTATATGCTGTCCAAAAGCATGAAGGCTAAATATACTAATTAGGAAAACATATCTTCCTGTCTTATGAAGACTTTAACAGTGAGATAAACATTTCTGTCTTTCTTCCAACTGTTTAATAAATGTATATTATACCTTTAGTGTCAGCTCTGGCTTTACAGCATCACCATTACTTATAAATGGCTTAGAGCATGAATGCCAACCTGAGATGCATCTTTTTACTTCATTGTGCTTTCTAGTCAAAAGATTGTATAATGAGGCAGGACTGAATGTTTGCAGATGACCAAGTTTTTCTGTAATTATTGGTCCCCTCCATGGACATTTCTCTATTGTTGCTGACAGAATTTTAATGAAAAGTTCTTTGTATGTTTGACTATATTGAAAAGAAATGGACTAAAAGGAGAAAGCATATTAATTTCATTATTTTGTTTTCAGATTTACCATTTGGGCTTTACTTTTTGTAATGGTGCGTCTTTTGACCCTAACTTTATCTGTCCTCACCTTTGGATTTGGTCTGGCAAGAGTAGAGAATCCAGGTTTTTCCATAGCAGACGGAAACTTCAATGTACTCCCTGTGAGGTATAACAAGGCTAGTAGACATTCATGTTTGTATAATGTAGCATTTCAAAATACTTTTTAATAAAACAATCCAGGATGATAATGTGTTTTGAAGAATTTCCCTGGGTGATGTTTTCCTCTTGAAGATTTAAGGGAAGGGAAATTTTGTTCTCTTTTTTTTATCTTTTCACAAAAGTAATAGAACAGGATTTATGGGAAATAGAAAAGAAGGAAAAAAAAAAAAAAAAAGAAACTTTTTGAAATTAATTGTTGATAATCATCTCATTAAACTTTTTTTCCCCTTTGTCTATACTGGACATAGTATCATTTGGCGATATTAATATCCGTAATTTTTTAACTAATTATTTGTTTGGTGCCTTCCTAAAAAATTTTTTTTATATAGCTTTTTTTCCTACTTGTTAATTTTAAAATCTGATTGATTTTTCAGCATAAGCTCATCACTTTAATGTTCACCCTTACAACTTAGTGCCCATAATCAAGTGTGTGGGAGGGATTTTGAATCTATGTGATTTCTCATTCATAGATTGCTTGGCAGAAGGGGCCTCAGTGACACCATTTCCTATCAGCCATTGAAAACTATGGTCATGACTCCTTGATAAACCTGATTGCTTCTAGCAATATTCTTACATATGATTTCCATTTACTTCTTGTGTGACACACCTTGTCTTGGGTAAAGCCTTCTGATACATCTGGTTTCCCATGGCATGAAGATTTTAATTGTTTCACTAGTAGAGTTTTGGAGAAAAGATAGGTACAGATTTGCAGTCTATTAATGTTTAACTGAAACTTTTACCTAACTGTCTTAAAAATCTTAAATCTTATTAGGGTTGGTTGCCTGGGTGCTGTTTGTCTAACACAGGCCTGGATGATGTGGAAATTTATAAATTTTCAGCTGAAGAAATGGAGAGAGCATGTTAAGAACCAGGTTCCGAAGAAAAAAATAACTAACACAAAGAACAAACGAACAAAAAAGGAACCAAACAGAGGTCAGTGATGTAATTTTTAAAGTTGTTTCTAGGCCAAATGTTTTTATACCAGATGTAACTTCGTATCTTTCTGCAAAAGGGCAAAAAACATCTGTCTTTTGCCATTCAGAGAATATAGATGATGATATTATAGCTTCTTCAAACATTAGGGCCTGTTTTTCTCTTATTTCATATTGCTAACTGGACAACACACAGAGTGCTAACTGTATTAAGTGGTAGCCCTGGGTAATCTGCAGGATTATTCACTGAACTCTATGTTAATCTAAATGCAAGGAATATTTCATGAAACTGGGTTTAATGATAACAGAGTTTTCTTTCAATTTTAAATGTCTTTTACAATGCTGCTAAATTTTTTTTTTATTTAACAACAGAAAAAAAAAATCTGAAATCCCTACTGTATTTTATAAATTCTGCTTCTATTATGCTTCAAATGATTAAAATTAAGTTTGTTTGTTCTTCTATATAAAGACACATCATGTAAAGAGCATCAAACCCACTGGAAAATAACTCAAAAGGAACATCATAGTAGCTAGAGAAGAACAACTAATGGAGGAAGGCTTTTAATTATATGATGTTGTATAATTTCTAAATTCCAATGTTATATCAATTAAATTAGTTAAATGGGAGTTATGAAGATTTATTAGAGTGAAATTTTGTATCCTTGCTAGCAGATATATAGAAAGCAGTGGATAGACTTATGTATGAAAGATTCAGAATCACTTCTGAGATTTGGGTAGAGCTTTGAAAAATGCAGTTTCGTGGGAATTTTACCACAGGCTGGCTCTCTTTCTGGAGTTGATCTTTATGTATTTGTTTCTACTAAGAGGGGTTGAAGCTCTTTTCATTCAAAGATTTCTTGTTGAGTCAGCATTAGCTGAAATCAATTGGAAGATTCTAGACCACAAATGTGCTCATAATATTGTTTTTCTTTATCATTCTAGAGCAGCCTTTCAGCTCTGAATGTAGCTGCAGCTGCTTTTTTTTCTTTTTTTCTTTCTCCAATCTTGCAGATCCTTCTCTGATTTCCAGATTAATAACTTCATAGCTTTAATGTGTTATTTTATGAAATTAGTGCAGTTCTTAAGTTCCCAAGATGATTAAATAGCAGAAGTGAAGTCAAACCTCAGTATCACGTTTGCTTTAATTGAACAAAACAAAGAATAGCACAGGTATTACAGCGCTCTGCATATGTAGCAAGATGTTGTTTATCAGTTTATCTTTTTTCTAATGGCAAAAGTATTCATACTTTTTAGAAATATTCTGAGGAGATCTTGGGTTCCACTGAAGCCACTAGTTTAGTTGCAGGCATGAGCCATGAATCATTTCCTTAGTCTCCTTGAATGTAGTCTCCTCTTGTCCCTCAGCTCTTAAGATGAGAATTCAGACTCGTTTGTAGTTAACATGACTGTACAGTGGTTAGGCATGATTTGCACAGGATAGAATAGGAAAAGAATATATGTTTGAAGTTGTTAGATGTGGAGAGTTACGTAGCCAAAATAATCATGTTCAGATTTAACTGACAAAAGAAGGACTAGAAGTGTACCACAAACTCTTCATGTACTGCTTTGTTCCATCTGTCCTGTTGCAGCTTTTCTTCCTGCTGTGGCCTGAGCTTCTTACTCTAATGACAGACAAATCTGGTAAATGTGAAACAGTAGACTGTCTAGGATAGCACATGCCTTATGGGACTAATACTGAGAATGCTGTACAATAGGTAAAAAAATCCGAAGGAATCAGTAAAAAATGATTTAACAAATAATGGTGAAAAACTAAACTGAGATCCTGGTTAAACTAACATGTCACAGATGAAGATACATTGATTAATACTTAGTTAATTAGTAATCAAAATATAACAATGGGCAACTGGCACTCTGAAGAAAGCTTACCAGTGGGGCCCAACCAGTTTCTGTGCTGACATGTTCATAAATAACCTGTTGAGGTAGCAAAGTCTAAAAACAAAATGATGCTGAATTTGTTACGGCAGAGAGTTGCAGGAAGATCTTGCAAACATGAGATAAGTCAAAATGGCAAATTCTTAATTTTCAATGCCATTCCTAAATTTCTAAGCTAAGTAACACATATTATGGAGGAAGGGAAAAGGAAACATAGTTTATACATATGCAACTATGGACATCAAACTAGCATTTGGCTCATGAAAGATTTTAAATCAATGTTTATTTTTTTCTGCAAACATCACTCAACTCCTTGTTGCGATAAAAAACAAAACCAAAAAACCTCTCAGCTAGAATGTACCGTCCATTGTATAAGTCTGTTTGTGTACCTACATCCCAGAAATTGCATGCCATGTTGATGAGCCTATCTGAAAAGACAGACTATTGCCAGAAAGATGGAGAAAACGGTAACAGTAAGGAGAGAGGCTAACTACCACTGAGCTCAAAAAAATGTCTGATAGGAGACACCATAGAGTTCTAAAACCTTAAGTGATTTTGAACAGGCAAATAGCAAATTACAGTTTGCTGTTTCTTATAACAAGGATAGACGCATGTTTAAAATGAACACAAGAAGGATATAAAATACAGATAATTTGTAGAAGTAATTTCTGCAAAAGTATGGCTTGAGATTTAATTCCTGGGGTTCCGTCTGTCAGTGGCTAATAATGCAATGGTCTAGATGCAAGTTAGACCTCAGGAAGCCAAAAAGATTCCCCTGGAATCTGAAAGAAATTATGTTGGTAAGACCACTCTGTATTTGCCCTGTTTTTAATAAATGAAATAAATAAAATGAAGCATCTGTCACTCCTGGAGACAGACTAGACTTAGAAGCAACTTTTGTCAGATTCCTGTTCATATCAGCTTTGTACAGTCAAAGCTCCTAAGTATTTTATATTCCTAACTCCAAGTTAATTTCAACTGAAAAAAATACTTAAGCTTCCCCCCCCCCCCCGGTCTAGTTTCTCTATCTTTTAATGTAAAGCAAAATTGTGTGTGTTTACTGTACTTTAATTTAAAATTACAGCTAACTTTGTCAATGGAGCAGCAAAATTAGACGGTGGAATGTCGCCAAGAATAAGAAAATCAAAACCTGTATGATAGTACAAGCCAGTATCAGAAGACAACATTTGACAGAAGACTGTGACTTACAAAATTGACCCTGCAGAGCTATTATTTGGATGTCTTATTATTTCAATGGACACTATCAGGTTATATTTTTTTAAATATTATTGTTAATAACCCTACATTTATGACAATATCGTCTTTGACCTACCTTAACTAAGCAGTTATCTCCAAATTTCACTTAGCTTTAAGAATGAAAACAGATTAATCTGTTTGAACTGATCACAGAACCAGAAGAGGTTATTACATTTCTGTAATATTTGCATTACAGACACTTCAGAAGGCTGCCTAAATTGAAGTTACCTGCCTATTCATCTGTTCTTATAAAATCAAAGTTCTGTAGCAGAAAGATCGAACCATGTCTGTCTGTTCCCTCCCCATCTTCCCTCCCCAAGAATTTTTTCTATATTCATCTTACATGGAGTAAGAGGTTATATCTGAAGTAGCCTGCTAAAAAAGCAAAAATTGTCCTATACCCGATTTCACTTCAACAATTACAGATTAAGAGAGGGCAAATTCTGACAGGACTTCACTAATCTTCTTTCATTATAAAGATGAGACTAATATTTAGTAAAGATGCAAATTGTATGTCTTGGGAAAAATGTTGGATTTTGCAGTGGATTATACTATTTTGTATGGGGCAGGGATTGAAGGGAGGAAAAGTAGCCAATTAATCTGTAGGATAATCCTAGCCCTTCTGAAATAGAAGACAAAACTTCCAAATATTTCTAAAGAGCAAGTATTTCATGCTTGCAATCACATGTGCCAGATCATTTTTCCTCAACTGCTGTTTTCCTTTAATTTGTAACTGACATGTCTTAAACTTCTGAGTCTACTCAGATGATGTTCAGCAGAGGTGCTCAAACAGTATTACAATGAATGTTTCACCAAGCATAACCTTTTTTCTTTCTTAACCTGTAGATAATAATTTATTTTAGTCTGACTCAAGGGGTTTATGTCTATGAAGATATTAATTTGCTCCTTATGTGAACACTATCTGGATATGATTTTAATATTAATATGATTATATTATAAAAAGATGAATGGCATTTTTCTAAGTAACCCTCATAGAATTGAGGCTGGTATCTCAATGTTGGATAAGTTTCATGAACTCACTTTCTTATTTGCCATAACTTTCCCTCTGTGCAAATAGACTGTAGGAATACTACATTAATTCACATAAGCCTATACATTTCTACTGAAAATGTTTACCATGAAACTAGAACACATTTGCTAATATTTTTCATAAACTTGTATAATAATGAATGCCTCATGAGATAAAAGTATCATCTTTTGAGCAGCTGTGTGAGATTTGCTTAGCCTTCAAGTATTTCTCAGCGTGCCGCTCACAAGACAGTGTTTTCTTTGATGTACCCTGCAACTGTAAGTTTGCACTCCCTGTAGATTTCAGTTTGTGCACATCTAAGTTACCAGGCTTTCAAAAGTGGATCCAGACAGTGGTTTAGGTGCCAGTATCCAATTCTCGGTGCATAAAACTAGACAGTTTCATATTCATTTTTTGTGCAAATTTCACAGTGTAATTAGTTTACACATATAAAGATAGTGCCACTGGATTTACAAATTAAGAAAATGAGCAGGTTGGTGTAATAACTAGTTCATTAACAAAAAAAGCAAGCGTATATGCAGTGATTCTTACTTTTTTTATTTGTACTTCATTGGCTTGCTAATAGTCTGTGAAAGTTGAAATACAAAGTGGTGGTGAGATGATAATGAAGATGATTTTTTTTTTTTTTTTGTTAAATGCTATATTTTTTGTTTCTGGCTGAGTGGGAATGACAACTCAGGAAAGTAGAACTTGGGTGAAAACAATGAATTCACTTGCTCAGATGTACTTTAAGCAACTTTTTTCTTTTTTAAATTTACAAGACTAAGATGATTCTGAGCTTATCTCTGCAATTACTTTTTAAGATCCTTTTACATTGTTTAAATTAAAATTCGCTGGTTTGTTCCAGGGTTAGAAAAAACTCACATTCGGAGATTGTTCCATGTATAAAGCACAATATTTTATAGGGAAGGTATGAGATATAGGTCATCAACTATGAATTCCCAAGTGCTTGACAGTTTCTTTTGATTGCATCTTTCAGAAACACTGCCAAAAATATCTAGAAATTACTTTTCTTTAACCACATACTTAAACTAATTCCAAACCCCTCATGTCACAGCAAGATCTGAGGTCAATCCAGGCATCTTGTTATGAAGTCAATGAAACAAAATGCACAGTAGGACTCTTGGCTAAGTACTTCTGTATGAATGAGACCTAATTAAAGCTAAATCCTAAACCAAGGGTAACAAGAATACTGCAAAGTCGCAGAGGATCTTCCGAAGTCTTAAAAACACAGGTCCTAAGTGCCATGAACCAGACAAGATAGAAAGCCTGTTCTGGAGGTCTAGGATAAAAACTGCAGCGTGTTAGGGTTATGTTTGGTGGGGTTTGTTTGGTGGGGGTTTTTGTTGTTGTTTGGTCAGGATTTTTTTTGTTGTTGTTTAAATATAGTTTTGTCAGTTTTTCTGAGACATAAGCTGATAGCATTTATCACTTTGTTTCAATATTATGAATGTCACATAGAGTAATAATCAGATTAGACACTCATTTCTTCTTGTTTCAACCATATGGCCTTTGCTGAAGTTGCATTAAGTCTGTCAGCACGGATGTTGAGGCATGTTCCCTAGTGATGTAATATTGTAATGAATTAAGCTCTTTTTACATGCATTTTACATATTTAATTTATGTAAATCTTAAGATTTTCAGAGGAACTGTATGCTCTATCTTGTCACTATCTAATTGTAAAGTTAATTCATATGTTAGAGGTTCTTTGCAAGTAATCATGTGCACATCAAAATATAAAATACTACCGTGCACCTGCTTTGGGAAAATAAAATAAGTACTCTTACTTCTAACCTTCCTTTCCTCCTAGTGGGTATGTAAGAGTTGATTTACCTCCTGAATATTCTTCTAAAGGAAGGGCATCTTCTAGGTGATGCAGAAAAGTTTATGTTACAAATCTGTATCTCAGCTTTTGAACTGTATAATAGGAATGAACAGGTTGTCTTGATTTTAAGAGTAATAAGAAACTTTCTTAAGCTGATATATTTTACATTCTCTTCCTACTGAGGTTTTGAGTTGGCCACATAGAGTGGAATAGAAAGGAGGTTGTATGGTGGCATAGCCATGTGGACAAGAGTGTTGCTGTTGCCTGCTCTTGTTCAAGTCTACTAAAAATTGAAATTATTCAGGATAGGTTTTAAAAATGCAGAATGTTGTCTGGGAGCTGGAGTTTTAAGCAAGTCTGAAAAAATGCTAATTTCTAAATGCTCAGCCTTGTTGAGTGCTATGTAACTTTGTAAATAATTAATTAGTTTCATTATTTTGTTGATAAATGAATTCGGATGGAGAAGGCAATGTTTCATCTATATTTGTTTCTTAATGTTAAAATGGGCTGCTGCATCTACTTAAATTGAAAGCACACATATACTTCCATTCTTAAACCATCTGAATGTTTTACCACAAAGAAATTCTAGCAGTAAAAGAAACGGGTAAAACAACACTGATACTGTAAACCATTAACTTTTAGATACTTAGCTTTAGGCCTTGGTAGCTGGAATCGAGTTTATGAATTTACTGACCATGAGAAAGAGATAAATGTTTACAAACTAATATTGTTGTAACATTTCTCTGTTACAATTATTCCCTAAAATTCTTACATATAGTTACTCTTTCAATGAAACCAGCAGTGTACTCCATATTACATGCGTGACTGTCTGATTACAACAAATATACTGGTTTGTTTTTAATTCCCCTTAGGATGTATTTTCTTTTTAGTTTATTGACATGTCTGTCCATTTTCTGGTTAAACAGTTATTGTTGAAATGTGTTGGTTTAAAAGATTGCATTATGAAAAAATAATTCACGTAATCACTGTATAAAGTAAAATTATGGTTTAGTGAATGGTTGCTGAAAATATAACATTTTGCTGAAACACTAGTTTCTTTTACATGTTTTGTTTTATACTGTTTTACATGAGGATTTGTTGATTGTTTAATATATAATCAATAATCCATAGCACGAGACAAGTTTTGAGCGTATGTAAGGTTGCCGTTACTCATTTGATAAGATACTGCTAAAGAAAACTTTATCCCTTTAAAAACAAAGAAAAATAATCTTCTCTAAGGATGTATTTCTGATGTATCTAATTTCACTCTATAATGTTATTTAATTTCCTTTGTTACCATTAAATAATTTGTTTATTTTGCTAAACCAGTTACTCTTGATAGTCTGGTCAATTAGGCAGTTAGCCACACAAACTGGATTGCTAGTCTAAGAAGAAGGTATGTATGTACTTTTGGATTTATTAAAAAAAAAAAAAATCAGAACCTACTCCAATTCTTCAACACTTTTACCCATTTTCTGTCAGTGTTGGTTTTCTTTGCTTCTCATTCAATGCCAGAACAATTTTTCTTTTCAGCCCTTGTGATGTCTGTATGGTAATATCGGGGTCAGTACACCAGATATTCTCCTCAACTCCAGTCAAGCAGTCTGCAATCAATCTGCTGCAAACTATTACTTAGTGTACAGAAAAAAAAATATCAAAACAATAAGTAAAAATTTTGCAGTTATCAAAAAGTGCCAGTTCAAACCCAGAAAACATGGTGGTAATGTGACAAACCTTAGTTCTGCTTAACCTAGTTAGATAGGGAAGCCAAAATTAAAGTAAGTTTATGAATCCAATATGAAAGATGTTATGGGGGGGGGAGGATTTTAGTTTTGGGGGAGTGGAGAGGGTTGTTTTCTTTTGTTTTGTCTGTTTCTAATTTGGGAAGGGAAGAAGGGATGATGGAAAGCTACTTCTGTGCCAGAGTATTATTGGAAAATGTCATATCCTAGAACTGTTGGGGGAGTTTTTTGCCCTTTTTTTTCTTTTGGCTTTTTTTTTAATGAGGATGTTGTTAATATTTCTTTGCAAAACATTTAAAAAATAAATTTTTTTTAAAAATCCTGTTAATAGATCGAACAGAAAGAAATCTAAGCTCATGTAAAACTTGTTATAAAGAATGCCTGTTAATCATAGTGGGTTTTTTTCTGTCTCTGAGCAGAGAACAATTAAATGGGCTGAAGAAACGGGATGTTTCTCTTGCGCTAATTGTCCAAACAGAAATTGATCTTGGAAAATTCAGGAGACAAATTAGTTTTGTAGAGAGATGCCTGTGTGGAAGAGAAAACGTTTTCTGGAGAAGAATAGATGATGGAAAATGATGACTGACTGAGTTACTGTCACAATAAAAATTAATGGTAGTGTCCAAAAAGTGAGTTCACAAAGTCTGTGCTTCCATTGGCCTTTTTTTGACTGAGAAAATGTTGGGATCAGATTTGATTTAATTAGTGTGTTATATAAATTCAAAGTCACGTATGTCTCTTGTGTACATCTTTGGCCAAATTTTTAATACATTTAGGCTTCTAAAGACTGCTTTAGAAGGAATATGCACCAGCAGGTGGAGCAAATAGATGGAAATGTTAAATGTTACAATTCTACAGCTAGATTTACTATAATCAGCTTTTAAGACAAGGACAGAAATTTGAGGGGATGTGTGTTATTAATTTTTGTAAGGCATCACATAACAATGAAAAAAATCAAAGCACTTTATCACTGTATCCCTCATTATATGAAGTCAGAGCTAACTTTGAAGTTACCTGTTTACAGTTGCTATAACAGAAGCCAAAGGCAAAAAAAGATACACAGTGTTTGTACTCTATTGACACTTCAAGTTCTGTTTCAGTCTTGAGTCAAGGTATCATAGACGCAGTGTAAGTATAATTTGAAGGTCTAAATGGAAGAAATATGAATAACATGCAGTTTGCTCAAATAAAAAAAAACACAACTCCAGTGTTACCGCTGTCTTTCATTAACCTGTTCCTCCCTACATACTTTGATTTTGCCCTGATAAATGCTTTGTTATAATTCATAGTGGAAGAAGAGATCAACTTGCAGAAAAAAATATTACCTTGAGTGGAGGAAGTGGAATCATTAAACAGCAGACCTCACACTTTCAGGAAATGCCATAGGATCTCATTCCTCTTAAGGTACTCTAACATCATGAACTCTTTTCTGTTGTGATAACGTGACAGGGAATCTGTCCCTGCCAGTTGGTTAAATTTGAGCTCATAAGTACAAACAGACATTTATAATTGGTAAGTTATTGTGTTTATAACTGCAGGGTAAAATCCGAGGTGGAGCTTGTTTTTCTGGAACTTGACATATTTTAATTTCTTTTAGCTCTAGATTTTTTTTTGGTTTGTAATGCTCATTTTATACCAGTAACTTGCTCATAGGTGCTCAACACTAGTTCAATGTATTTTTTTTATTTAGCAATTACTGGAAGGTGTACTTAATGGCTTTACTTGTCTGTCCACCTTGAATGCTAATTGTGGCTATGGTCCTGTAATGAGCTCTGTATGAGTAGCTTGGCAGGACTTAAGTCCATGCATTTTCAGTATTTCACACTCTAAATTTTCAAATTAAAAAAAAGCATTTTTATATGGCTGTTTTATGAGCACCTTAGACCGGTATACTGGGGTTTCCACACACTCCATTTTAGTCTACAGTTTTAAATACCTGTTCTAAAAAAGTTTATTAAGTAGTATTTATGCAAGCAAACTGTGGCACTGGAAGGTTATATTCTCTAAGTTCCCTGCCCTTTATATCCTTGCCTTGCTTTTTTATGGATGGCAAGTGAACTGCTATTTAGTCTGAAAACTGTCTTTGACAGACACATACCTGAAGTAGAGAGTAACTGAAGCTGTTGATGTTGTTTTCAACTTTTAACCCAACCTGTTTGTGTTTTATTAAACATTCTCTTCAATAGACTGTTGGGGTTTTTTTGTTTTACTGAAATAGAAAAAGGGGTGCTCGGTGTAGCAAATGCTCCACCAACATTATGTAGCTGTAACTTCCACCACAGTGTTGTGATCGAGTGCTGTGGGCAGGGCTGACGCCTTACCGTAATTTAATCCTTCGTGTGTATAAACCGCCCTTTATTAAACCCCGCGTCGCTGTGACTCCGGGGGCCGCTCACAGCTGCCGTGTTTGACACCAGGCGCGGTGGCTGCCAGCCGCGCGTCTCACCGACGGGCCCTCTCCGAGCGGCGGAGGCCCGGGGCCGCAGGGGCCTGGCACCGGGCGCTCCCCATGGGACTGTCTGGGCCCACACTTGCGGGAGAGCCCTGGGCACCCGCGGTGGCCCCGCGGAGCAGCGCGCCGTGCCGCGCAGGGGTCGCTGGGAGCGGTGGCCGGGGGAGCCGTCGGGCCCGAGCCGATACTACAGGTACCGTGATGCCCCGCGCTGGAGGGGTGGGCGGGCCGGCCCATGAGCGCTCGCGCGGGGCCGTACTACAGGTCCCACACTGCCTCGCGCCGCCTGCTGGCTCCTCTCGCGGAGGCTGGTTCCTATTTAAATCTAGGCAGCGAGGAAAATGGCGGCGAGAGGCTGAGTGTGGGGGAGACGGGGAGAAGGAGACGTAGCTGAGCTTTGGCTCCTTTCCCAGGTGAGTGGGGTTTGGAGGGAGGGAGTAACGAGTGGAGGGAGGAGAGTTCTAGTTCTTGTTCCCCTGCTTCAAGCGCTGGGGTGGGACTGGGATGGGTGAGGGAGGGCTGCCCCTTGCCGGGGAAGGGAGCAGCTTGGGGCTGGCCCTGAGGGGCGGCTCTTTTCTCTTCTTCTCGCCCCCCTCCCCAATATGGATGTATGTCCCTGAGGGGAGGAGGCAGGGGAGTGTAGACGGGTAGTGTATGAAGAGTAATCCCAGGACTAGGGATGAGGGGGATTCCCAGGGCAGTGTGTAAATGCCTTTACCTCTTTCTAACCGTTGTAACTTTAGCGCTGACTGTAGTTAGAAGGCGGCATTCCTGAGGCAGAGGTGAGGGACTAGTGTGTTGAGCTGAAGGCTTCCCCTATCGCTGCGTGATGCATATCTAAGTAGGGTGAGTTTGGGTGGAGGTTTCTCCTGTAACAGTGAGAAACTTGGGGTCGCTATGGATTTGTGTTTAGAATCGTATGACCCTCAGTATCCCAGTCTGAGTGGAGGGTGTGTGTGTGTGAAATACCTGGGCTAGAATGGCTTTATCTGGGTGGTTTATCTGATACTGAGGCGGTTCCAAAGACCTTGTTATCTGCATTTTCTTCCTGATCATCTTGTAGCCTCGGTAAGTTTCAGAGGTGAATTCTCTTGTCTCTGGTAATAAGGAAAGGAATGAGAAATACTGCAAACCAAAGGTTGATTTCCATGTCTCATATCCATTTCTGCCTCATAGCTGCAATGAAACCGTGCTGTTGAGGGATGGAGAGGAGTTGTTTGTTTTTGTTTTTTTTTTTTTTTTTTCCTGAGGTCACATACTACTGTAGCTGTTTGGCGAATCTGGGGGATAAAAGGGGTGAGTATGGGTGGGGATGTTGTCTGAGGTTGACATAATTCCCAGAGTCCTCTTTGTTTGATTCTAAAGTTGGTTCTGTTTGTGGTTTCTGCTCATACTCTTAAGCACAGTAAGGTTTTTTTTTAAAACAGAAGCTTCTCACTTTGTTAGCTCATTCTGTGAACAGAGTTTTAAATCAGTCTCCTCTTATTCAGGTGGTATCTCTTTCCTCTTTAATGTGTTAAGAAAAAAATAATCTGTTTCTGCCTTTAAATTTTCTATCTGAAAGTTAACAGAAAATATCACGTTGGATTCTATCTGGAATAACAAGACAAAAGTGAAGCTAACCTCGAAGTGTGAGATACAGTAATGTCTAGCTATGTGGTATCTATAATACAGTTAAAACGGATGCTTAAAATAAGCTTAAAATACTGCCGTCACTATTGTAAAAATAAATATTTTCTTGTGAAATGTTTCAGACTTACAACGAGCTGCTACACATCAGACAAAAATGTGTGTGTTAAAAATATAAATACAAGATAGCTTCATAGCAACAAATAGTATCTGATTGAAAGCCCCAGCATAAGAGCGTGGGTTTAGAGGAAATAGGAAATTGTGAATTTTTTTTTTGTTGTTGTTTAGTGGTGGTTTGTTTTTTTTGGTTTGGTTTGGGGTTTTTTTTTGACTAGACTGTGCGTGATAACATACAGTTGTTGTAATGGACTGTATAACTGACTGTTGTTCAGAATTTCATTCAACTCTGTTACTACTACTTTTTTTTTTATTATTAATACTAATGAATTTGCTGCTGTGATATGAAGATAGAGGTTGGGGGATAAGAGAAGTGACAGCAGGAATAAACCCAGTATTCAGCCTCGCTTTAAGTACCTTTCCTGATGATAGTGTGCTGTTTCCATGCTGCTTTTATTTGGTATATGCATTGTTTGGGGGTTTTTTGGGGTGTGTTTTTTTTTGTTTTGTTTTGTTTTTTTGTTTTTTTTTTTTTTTAATGAAACCCCTCTTCATCTTGTTTTTGGATTTATTAACTTGGAAGTTTGCATTGTCTACTTATCAATTTTTTGCATAGTATCACTGTGACTAATGTATAGTTGAGACAAAATGCAGAGTAGGGAGGAGAAGGAAATCTGTTTTACAATAGAGCATTATCTTTGATTATGGGCTTTTTTGTCTCATTAATAATGGACAAGAAATCAGTCAAAACCTCAAAACCTTAAAAATTAATTTCTGTGTCACAGTTGCATAGAACAGGGTGGTGGGTTTGGTGGTGTGGTTTTGTTTTTGTTTTTTTTTTTTTTTTTTTTTAAACCCTGAGAAGGAAAGGATGTCTTGATCATATTTGTCTGCAAAATCAAGCCATTGGTAGCATGTGAAATTATATTGGACACTACAGTCTGACACTGGAGGTTGCTTCAACTCCTGCATTTAAATAAGCCTCCCTCAAAGAGGTGATCTTGAATGACTGTGTGATATAGGATCTTCTGCATTATGTTCATGGAAGCTTTTTGATGATGAGTATTTAGAAATATCTCAAATATTCTTCCGACTTGTTTTTATACTAAAAAATGGAGGTGAGGGGGAGGGGAGGAATAGTATTTATGCCAAGGATAGGAGAGGGTGGTGAAGAATATTTAAACCTGAATGTTGGGGCAGCATGCCTGTGTGCTTTTTTTCTCTGGCTAGATCTATTGATGTTTCTAAATGTAGCATATTAAGGAAGAGGTAATTGTGAAAGAATTTAACTGCTACTGATATAAATCTGCTATGGAATATATTTCCACTGTGATTTTATATGCAGCATTTAGTTAAGAAGAGGTACAGAAATCCTTGTTTACTTCATGTAAATGTGAGGTATACCTCAGATGGACCCTATTTAATAATTTT